TAACGGATACGAAAGCCTCGTTAATTTTTTCAGCAAGTTGCTTTCCAGAGACGACTTGCTCTCCTAGGACAATACTTGAAAAAGATTTCTTCTTAGGGTAGCCAGCTATTTGTTTTACGGTGTCCCACCATTTCTTAGGATCAGGGTTACGTTTCAATTGTTTCAATGTATGTTCTAAGAATGCAGATTTAAGGTACTTACTTTCTCGATTGGCACGATTACGTAGTCGCCGGTACAATTTGTCATTTTTCTGAAAAAATGCCTTCTGTCTGCTTTTAATAAGTTCCTTGTATGAAGGTGTTATCCAAGGCTTATCTCGGTCGTGCATTTTAACTACTTTACATGGAAGGAAGTGGTCTAAGCCGGTATGAATAACATCCTGAAAAATTTCCAGTTTTTGTTCGCACGGTGCAGTACGATACAGGTTAGTCCAATTATAGTTCGTTAGCCATCTTCCAAATGCAACTTTGGCACCTCTGTTACCGGGTCTAATTTTTATTTTCTTGCATCCGTTCAATGATTTACATTTTTTTAAAATGCATAAAACGGAATTATGGTCGCTGAGTCCGATGGGTGCGATCACCTTAGGAGGGTCACATGTGTCTGACATATTAGTAAGAATAAGATCAAGGACAGCATCTTTCCTGGTTGGTTGTTTTACGATTTGTTTCAAAGTAAAATGTCTTAATAAAGATGAGACAGGACATCTGTTAAAATCTCCGAGTAAAAATATACCTGCATTTGGGTACTTATTGAGAGCGAGGTCAAGTGTTGAGCTGAGGTGATCTATAAACGCGGCGTTGTCGCTGGATGGAGGTTTATAGGCCACACAGACGATCAAACACGAGAAGCCTCGATTAAGTTTATAAGGTCGTACATAGATCCATAAGGTTTCAAAATTGATGTCATTAAATTCTGTTAGAATTTTGAACGGGATGTCTGATTTAATAAAAGCACAAACTCCACCGCCAAGTTTATCAATTCGATCACATCTTGCTATTGAATACCCGCGAATACAAACTGCTGCATCGTCGATTTTCTCATTTAACCATGTTTCGGTTATGAAGGCCATACTCACATCATATTGGTCAAGTATAATTTTTAATTCATCCACCTTTGGTAAAAGTGATCTTGTATTTGAGAGAAAGAATGTCAGTAAATTACTTTGGGCGCACTTTGGGCTTTGATATAGAGACGTGCTTTGATATAGGGATGGATTCTTGATTGGAATTTCAATTAGATTACGCGTTCCGCTACGGTTTCGTTTGCTAGTATTAGGAATATGTTCATTATAACACGAAGCGCTAGACTGCTGACCTTCGAATTCATGGTAAGATGTAATTCTTACTGGTATAGTGTTTCGTTCCGGTGTGATTATAGTGTTGTTACTAGCTGCGACAGGGATCTCCAAGTTTATTGCAATGTGCGACGGACAAACTCCAGGTAATTCAACCGGTCTGCCTGCTGGCTGAATCGCGACCGAAAAAACGTATGCCGGTTCATCTTTCCTGTTTCATTCCTTTGAGTCTGGCGTGAGCGAGGCGCATGTGTCGAGTAATTAACAAGTAGGGGCAACCGTCCTATCCAATCAAGGGGTTCGGCCCCACTTCGAGATGTATGCATGGGGTTACTAACTGTCGCGTTAAGCGTTTCAACCAGAGGTAGGCGGGCCAACCATTTCAAAGATCCAGTCCCACTTGTTGCCGGACATTATGCCCTTTATTCACGAATCACGAGAGCGACGCAAATTAGATAGTTGAAGTTGTGATAATGTAAAGTTGTGTACGCAATTTAGTTGTTTGCGCAAGAAACATCATGAGTAACGAAAGTAATGAGATATAATGCTGAAACGCGCTCTTTTGGCAGACAGGCAAGAAAACCTTAAAATGCATATGCGTGGGGTCTGTGTGTTATTGTATAAAAGAGCTGCAAGTTGTCAATGTATTCAGATCAGTAGAGAATAGAATTGGGATTAGATTAATTGCTGGAAGTAGTTAGCATTGCCCAATTTAAGTACTACTACTAAATTCTAACCAATTTGCAAATTTCGACACGTTGTAATGCCGTTTCCTGACCATCAGATTTCTGTCAAATCTTCCCCCAAAGTCCAGGAAATGCTATTGCAGAGACTCTAAATTCAAAAATTTTCCTGGGGGGCATGCCCCCGGACTCCCCTAGACAAACCTCGCACCTGAGGCGCTCGACTCGTGCCTTCGGCCCTCGTTTATCAAGCGTAATATTATAGGGGCGCATATTGGTTGCCAGCCGACTGGCCCCCCCAGAAAAATAGTACCCAGCACGCCACTGCAACTCGGCCCATGTAATCAGCCCTTTAAAAGTCTTGAAGCTGAAATAAGAACCTTCGCAGCAATTTAATTTTACAAATTTTGCCATTATTAAAGATATAAACTAACTATAAATTATACACAATGGCTGGAATGACCACACAGAGATAAAATCTCCAATAACGGGTTTCACAATTTGGAAAGAATTAGAAGAATATAAGCCGGTCTTATCTTCGATCACTTTATCATAATGAACGCTCTGCGAGGAAGCTATCTAAAAGTAGGCAAAGTTAACTGAAATCGTTGTATTCCCTATAGCCAACGGTGAGGACAAATATAAGATATAAAATATGGATCGTCTGTAGCGGTCTGTTTTCTGCATTGCTGTTGAGTGGTCCAAGTTCGCTTCTATTTTTCATAACTTTGGATAACTCATCTACTTTGTAGCCTTTTCTGAACTTGGGACAGAAATTTTAGTTTGTGCTTTAACACATTGCCTATAAAGTCGCCATATCTCACTGACATCTATGTATATATTCGCAATTTGCTAAATCTAGGTTTTTATTCCATTTTTCCATTTCTAGATAAACTCAAGGATACAGACATTTTGTGAATTGGTCTCATAAGTTCTTATTTATTTCTTTAACAATATTGGGAGCACAAGCGCATAGTCATATTTTATTTCAGAAAAGGGTTGTATTTAAAAATGGAACTTATCGGGATCGTTATTTAGGCAGTTTAGGAGAGATCGAAAGAGTGAACCGCAGACTACTACAGCAAGTTATGATAAATAACTTTCCATTTAGGGCTATTTGTTCACTATGCTATTCATGGCTTCTTTTAATACCATAGACTGGGGGGAGTTGTCCCCCATAACCACTGTTTTGGCCCATCCAATGAACTATGTTGCCCCCCCCTCCCCAGTACATGAAGGTCCCTTCTATCTAAAATATAAGCAAGAAAGGGAAGAATAACTTAGTTAAGGGAGTATTTTAGTATTCCCATGACCAAATCTTTGTCTAGCAGATAAAATATATAAAATATTGTGTCTAAAAATGCCGTAAATCAAGCCCCAGACCACAAAATAAAGATCCATACAGAAGGGTCACTTACGTCGGAAACTTTGAAGTTTGTGTCCTCGGGCATGTCGTATTACGCATGTTGGCCGCCATTTTCCAAGCCAGTCAATGACATTTTCGGGCCAATAAACACGCTGTACTGGCTGGCTGCTCCGCCTTCTGGTCAGTAAACTGCGTATTTTGCATAAAAAAACGAGGATGCACCGCTGAGTGGCCCTTCTGTTACGTACTGATCTTTATTCTGTGCTTAGATACTTAAAAATACAAAGTTCCCCTTCACCACCTCCTAGTTGGGTTCCTTTTTCTTGATGAAGGCCTCTCCACTGACAAATTCTTAAAAGAGGCCCCTGAAGCTAATTAATGTATAGGCTAATGTAGGCTCCAAATAAGCAATGTCATCAAGTAGAATCTTGTACAATTATGTACAAAATCAAAATGTTAACTACCAGCACGCCTTAACTTATGAGCACTCAAAAATCCCGATATTTAATCAATGTCATATCTGTATATTTATCATAATATTTAACCAGATTGATCCATATTTAAACTCCAAATAACTGATGAGCACACAGACAACATCTGCAGTAAACAGTTTTTATCGGTTGAATGCAGCTTTTTAAACATACAGGATGAAGATCAATTCAGGTGAACAAATGATTGCAACATTTTTTGGAAGATACTGGATTATAAAAGAACTCGTAAAATGGGAGATTTTCTACTTTGAACTTCAGCTTAATTGAGAATCAATCATGTTGAAGATTGTTTGTGCCGTTTTGTTGTTTGCAGCCGTTTGCTCGGCCGATGTAGTTAAACCGTGTGAAGGAGGTAAGTTAAATGAGAATTCGGTAATACTGGGCACTGGATAAATTTCCATCTCCACAACTTTGGCATGATATATAACGGTAGTGCAATGATTACAGCATACTGTATCTACTTTTCACTTTCTTTCGTTGATGACGGTAGTCGCGATATACTGGTCGAATTATTTGCTAAGACAGTATTAGAATAACACATTTTAAACTATCGAAAAGGTGCTGGGCCAAATTGTATTGAACTAAAAATTTAAACTGTGCGTATTATATTATGGGTTACAATAGGCATTGTTTGCGTAATAATACTTCCAGACGGGCATTGCACAACTCAGCCTAATTTAATCAACCAATAAGTCACATTATAACAATATTACATATGAGCAAGTTTCTCTCGTGTGAGGCAGGTTTATTACTCTTTGTAATCCGGTGCAGTTATCGTCAACGGCAAGAGGATGATCATTTGCATGTTTATATTTTTGGTTCGGTGCATGCTATGAACACAAAAATACCACTATTCGATTTAGTTAAACAATATCTCTTCATTATCTTCTTTGTAATTGACTTGTTCGATTTAAAATGCACACTATTTACAACATTATTTCCAAGCTTGTTTCTTCAGATTTTCCGCATATTTTATTTCGGTATTTCCATTTCGGCTAATCCTAATCCGATCCGGAAATGCACGAGGCGTAGCTGAGTGCTTTAGACGCTTTTCGAGTATTCTTCCAACATTCCCAGAGTGCATTATCACATTATAAACGTAAGGGAGGAGTTTTTCTACTTCTTTTATAATATATGCAGAAGATATTACATAGTAAACAATTTTACTCAAAAGATTGACGTTGAAATTCTCCCAACATGTACTCAGGGCGCTGTCACGCGCATGCTTTTAACGTTGTTTGAATTTTTAAGAGAGCGAAGGAACAAAATTGCCACACAATACAAACTTAAAATGATGGAAATTAATAACAGTGGCCGATACGCAGACTAATTTGCCAAAGTTATTTAGTATGTGCTGGATTTGCCATGACAGGCGTTATTAGCGTAGGTTTTGTCGTGTTGCAACCTCGTCTCCAGGGCCTTTGTGTTGAGAGGCCCGTGCTGAGACATCCTCGTTCCCAGGGCTCGCCGGCTGCCTGCATTGCCATAAGTCCCGGGACAAGCCGAGGCAGAAGTGATTTGATTGGTCGTTGGAAATAGAGTGAAGTATGAAAAGTTCATTCACCAAGTGCATGTTTATATTCGGCTATATTGCTGCATTTAAGGAGTCCGCGTTCCAACTACGAAGAAATACAAACGTACAATGCTTGTTTTTATGGATTCATGGAGATCATTTGCAAACAGAAGGAAAGAAAATAACAAAATCGACAATTATAAAGTAGAAGTAAGCAACAATATCCAAGAAACGTCAACTATGAAGCTATTAAAAAGTTTCTTCATTTTAACATTTTCTTGTTTATATAAAATTAAAATTGTTTATTAATATAAAAATATTGTGCTCAAGTATAATTATAAAGTTTCAAGCACACTGTAAACATAAAGTATTTAATGTATATTTACGATAATTCGGAAGCGATGAACTGACAACAACGAATACAAACTTGGTTTTCAGGATTATATTTTGAACAATCTGAAACTATAATTTACAAAAATGTTTACCTAATTAAATAAATATAATAAAATAAGCTCTAAATGTTCGCTGTTTAACGGTATAGTAACTTAAACTTGTCCAAGCTTGTACTGAATTAACAGTTCCTTCCTTTTCTTACATATACAGTACAATTTAAACGTTTAAAAACACAGCAATTTACATAAATGCGCCAAGTTTCTTTTCAGCTATTCGAGCACATGTTATTTTCTGCACGTAATCAAATTATTCCGCCACGTTACGGACAGTTCCGGAACTCACCGAAACATTCACCCCCGCAAAGGGGTTTCCATCCCTAAAATCCTTCAGCTGGATATATCACGCTGATCTTAGGGATAGATCTTGTGCAGGTTCCCCTTGCTGTCTTCAGTAATTTCCACTGTCGTTGACACTCCTTACTTTGTCGTCATCTCCTGGAAATACTTCTTGTACTCTGCCACTGTTCCATTTACCCCGCACTGCATTCGGATCTGCGACAATCACAACGTCGTCCACTCGTACATTTCTTGTTTCGGTCGTCCACTCCCTTCTTGATACTAAATGTGGGAACACGTCGTGCGACCATCGTTTCCAAAACTAATCGACTATGCGCTGGCAGAATTCAAATCTATGCCGAGGATTCTTTGTATCGCGGAATGGACCTTGTGGAACGTCGCTCGTTGCTCATCCCATAAGGATGTCGTTAGGGCATAGATATGCACCGTCATCGGGATTGTGTGGTATTCGGCCAATCCATCGCAGATTCACCAAATTAATTAGCTGCTTCCAGAAAAAGCAGGTGTATAACTCAAACGGTGTTAACTTGGTATCACCAATGGCGCACTTAAAAGCAATCTTAACAGACTTTACCATCTGCACAGCCGTTGTAATGAGGAGCCAAAGGGGTGGTGAACTGCCACTTTATGCCACGTTCCGCGCAGAATTCTCTTAATTTTTCTTTGCCACAGCTTTTGATCATAAAACGTAACTCGCGTTCTGCTCCGACAATCTGCAAACCATTGTCTGAAAGAAGAAACTTTGGATATCCACGATAGAAGAAGAATCTTCTGAGCACTTGTAGGAACTCCATGGCATTGGAATTGGTTGCTAACTCGCAGTGAACGGGTGTTTAAACAGGTGAATATTACCCCGTAACGCTTGGAACGCTTGTTTAGACTTACTTTAACCGTGATAGGACCAAAATAGTCGCAGGTTGTGTAGAGGAACGGTGGTGTTTTTTGGTTTCATTCGTTGGGAAGGTAAGTCTTCCATCAGGCTTCAGCTGCGTCTGGATTCTCTTTTGCATTTCTTTACGAAGCGTACGTTGACTCTTCATGGTGTTGGCAGTATTGTGTTTCTTTAGAATCCAATATCGCCTCCGTACTTTCGCTGTAGCTATAGTTACACTAGAATGACCAGATTGATGAGCATGTCGCGTCACTAGTACTGATATCCAATGTTTATTTGGAAGTAAAACTGGATGTACTTTGCCATAAGACACCAGGGCTGGATATGCGCGACCACTGACTCGAATAATTCTTCGCTGTCAACAAAGGGTGTTAATGATTTTAACTCACCATCTTTCATTTTCTTTGCGAGACTGGCTTGCGCTATTTTTAACCAGTTTTCCTCTGAGATTTCAATTTATTCTGGCTTTAACGGACCAACGTCTATTTTGTCATCGCTTTTATCACGTCTAGATTAATTTGATCCGTATGTTACGGCAGAATCTCAGGACGTATGCGGTGACTCCACTGCCATAGCAAGCTCGACAATTGGGGGCTAGGGTCATATTCCTATTTTCGTGTTTACAGACCATAAAAACAATCGATTTCCAAAGAAATTGATAACGCAGACACTGCTACGGCACTGGACTCAAAGCAATCAAAATTTGGAAAAGACTTCGCACTTGATGACTGGTTCGGCTATTGTTGTGGCACAGGTTATACGAATCTTACGCTGTTCTTTGTTGACCTCGCTCATGTTCGGTACATCTTAATTTGTTCCATCGGTCAGTGATCGGTGGGCAATTTAAAAAACTCAGGTGAGTTGGACAATAAAGACATTCATCGGGTTTGGAGTTACTCTGAATTTCACTAATTCCACTGGACACAAACGGCTTGTAGCATCGAGGCTGACTTTTGATCCACGCGAGAACCACACGGCTATCGGAAAAGTAGACTACGCTTTCGAACACAAAACGTGATTCATTAATAACGGTCTTGCCGAGATGACTAGCAAGAACTGCGGCTTGTAGCTCTAATCGGGGAATTGTTAGTTCCTTTAACGGGGCTACTCTTGATCTTGCAGCGACAAATCTGACACCGAAGTTGCCTTCGAACAGCTACCATCTCACGTATGTGCATGTACCAAATGCTAGACGGGATGCATCGCAAAAGATAATTAATATTGGGTTTCCGATTGTTCCAGATGACGTCAGGCATCGGGGAAACTTCACGTTGTTGAGGGTGGAAATCTCTTGGAAAATCTTTAAACCACTTTCGCTGCTCTTCTGTTGCAATATCGTCATCCCATCCTACTCCAAGCTAAGATAAGTAAACAAAGGCTCTACAACAAAAACTGGATGAGCTTACATAAGACTTGTAATGTTGTTGTCATGTTGCAAACAATTAACTTTTACTCAAGCGGCTGCCAAATTACTCCAAACCTCTAAATTTCTAATCGTATAAACGTGATTCAAACACTTTCCGATAGCTTATTTCTCGAGGATTAAAAATATATAAAATTTACCTTGTCGTGGAGCAGCAAGTATAGGAAATTTTGAAGAACAAATCAATTTTGCACATTGAAATTAAGTGGTCTTGACTTGAGGTGTAAAATGCCAGCCGATGCCAGGGCATCCTCGTTCCCAGGGCTTCTCGGCTGCTTGCGTTGCCATAAGCCTGGAGACAAGCCAAACCGAAACACCACAAATTCTGGTGTTTTCCGGAACTGAAACGCGCTCTGCTGCACCTAAGAATGCTGACTATTCATTAATTTTTAATGAGGAGTGGATACGTGTTGGTGAGCAGAAAATATTGGATTTTCCTTTTGTTTTGATGTATTTTCCACCATCAAGGGAATACGTGAAGACTACCTAATGGAATTATACATATTCAACCTCGTACCAAGGACTTTCCTCTTGGGGAGCAAAGACCCTGGTAGACGCTGGTCACGTGATCTGCTAAAATCTAGCAGATTTCTAATTAACTATCTTGGTTTTCTTTACGACAATCATACAAAATGCAAATTATAAATTAAACTATCAAAATAATCCAAATATCAAATGTTTATTGACCTGATCTTGGATTGCTAATTAAAAATCTGCTAGATTTTAGCAGATCACGTGACCAGCGTTTACCAGGGTATTTGCTCCCCAAGAGGAAAGTCCCTGGGTACGAGGTTGATACATATTGGGTGTAAGCTCTAACACCATTGACATGCACAGTGAAACCAAGATGGTATAAAGCTCACGGGTGAGCACAATTTGAGACCGATATTGAGGTAACGTTAGGAAAACAGTTCAAACGCACGTAGAAAAGGGTCATTCAGATTACCGATTTGCCAACGGCAACGAAATAAATAGATCACAAACTCGAATGTAATCGTATAATAACCAAACTTGTAATATAAACGCGAAACTATAACGTGTAACGTGAAACGTGATTCGACTAAATAGAAATGAATATAAACCTAAATTAATACTAAATACTTTACCTAGCACTAACACAACTAAACAATAAACTACAATATACAAATGAATTGTCACTTACAGATGTTTCCCCAGTAACTCTTTAACTTTTAACGTAAATTATCTCTCTCTCTCTTTGGCTGTCCTCTCTTTACGAGTGTCTCAAACTATACTGCCGAGTTTTGGGGCTAAGCGTGCTTTTTTTCCATGCAAAAACGTAATTAGCTACATCAGTATTAAAAACATAAGTTTCCTGTCATAAGGATGGTCGACCGTAAATTTCCTGTGATAAGCACAGTTGTCATTACTAATAAAACACAAATTGACAGTTCCATTCCTACATACCGGCCCCTAAATGCGAAGGTATGAACTATGAGCATTTAAACAAACAGAAGGATTGGACTTTAACTAACAAACTATATATATAAGGCAAAAATGATAGATTAAGCGGTTATCTTGCAACGTATAACTATAGGTGCATGTTAATATTGTACTTATCGTTCATGGTCTTCCTTCTTCAACTTGCTCGACGGTTTCCAGTAGAACAATCTTTGTCACCGGACGATCCAAAGTCGTATTCTTCGTCTTCACTGTAACGCTTCGCACGAGGCCGTCTTTACTGTTCCGCCGAACATCAACAACTCTATCCAACGGCCACGTATTCCGAGGTGAACTTTTGTCAGCTACTAGCACAATATCCCCGACAGAGAAGTTTCTTTGGATCTTGGACCATCGCTGCCGTTCTTGCAAACATGGTAAATATTCCTTCGTCCATCGCTTCCAAAAGATATCCGCAAGGTATTGAACTTGTCTCCATTTCCGACGTGAGTAAAGGTCGCCATTCGTAAACACAACGGGTGGACACACGGATCCCTTTCGAAGCAACAAGAGGTGGTTGGGTGTAAGGGCTTCGAGATCCTTGGGGTCGTCCGAGACTTTCGTGATCGGCCGATTATTCACAATTCCTTCAACCTCGCACAGGAGGGTTGTTAGTCGCTCGTCGTCCAGGACTTGTTCCTTCATCAAAGCATTCAGCACCTTTCGTACGGTCCGAATACACCGCTCCCATACGCCGCCGTGATGAGACGCTTTAGGTGGGTTGAAAACCCACTTTACGTTTCTTTGTGTCAAGAAACCGCTGATCTTGTCTTTATTCCACGCCTTTATCGCCCTTCGAAGCTCCTGATTTACACCGACAAAATTCGTGCCGTTGTCCGATCTAATTTCTTCTGGCTGGCCACGCCACGAATCTCCTCAACGCGTTCAGGAACGAATCCGTGTCCAAACTATTCGCGACTTCGATATGCACTGCCCGTATTGCCAGGCAGGTAAATATGACTCCGTATCTATTTACATTGCTTCTGCCCCTCTTGACCGTGAAACGGCCAAAGCAATCAATATCAACGTTGGTGAATGGCGGTTTCCCAGCCGTGACACGATCCACTGGCAAATCTGCCATCATTTGCTCTCCTACAGGTGCTTGTCTCCTCTTGCAATCGAAGCACCTTTTAATAACGGTCTGGATCAGAACCCGAGCTCTGATTATCCAAAATCTCTCTCTTAGCATCGCGAGAACGTGTTCCAAACCGGTATGACCAAAGAGATCGTGATAATATTCAACGATCAAAGTCACGACGTGATGATTGCCGGGTAATATCAACGGATGCTTCGCTCCTTCTGAAACCAACGAATTTCTCAATCGTCCTCCAACCCTGAGGACGCGCTTATCATTCACTGGATTAAGCTTGTAGAGTGGACTGGAACATTTGACTGTTTTTGGCATGACATTCGCATTTGTAGCTGAATTTAAATTCCCTAGCATCACCGCAATCTCTTCAGTAAAACTTCGTTCTTGCACAATCTTGATGATTTCCAGCTCGGCTTCGCGCAGCTCTTCAATCGTTAGTGGCTTGATACGTGTTTGCTTTCGTTCGTGTCCATTTGAAGAACATTTCTCGCAGGCTTTACGCAATGTACGTCTATAGCGCAGCATCCATGCCACAAACTTCTTTAATCGTTACCAAGATGAGAAACGTGCAAAGATCTCGTCAAAAAACTCTTCAAAATTTGATGGCGGCAATTTCAATCGTTCACTCACTATTTACCGGTTTCTTCTTCTTGGGAGGCATTATTAATTTTTACACCTCTATATTTCATATACGTGTAATATACAAGACAGAGAAGTCAAAACTTGATCAAAATCAGTGTCCAAAGCAACTTTTATATCATTTTTGTAAATGGTATGTTTAATTAAAATCTATTTTTATGCAGATGTGGTAGGATGTCTCCAGGGTAGAAGCTTGCATATACATATACAAATTTTCAGTTTTGCTAATAATAATAGTTTTATTTATAATTTCAATTCTTACAAGATTTGCAATAAGTCAAAAGAATAAGTATTCTATTCTGAACTGTTGATATAGGAAAAAGTGTAAATTCATGATCTTCACATAATACAATCGCATCCGATATGACACAAGAATTTGAGATCCCCACCTCAGGCATACCAGGGGCATTCACTTCTTTGGTGTGTGGAATTCAGTGAAGTCCCCTGCAGCCAGGATAAGATGGTAATGTAAATTTCTCCGGTCCAGTCATCCCCAGGTTTCAATTGAAATTTCCCACCGTTCTGTGAAAGCCTTTCCTAGCCGACTGCTTTATTTCAGCATTTATATACAGCAGATAAAAGACTAAGCAACCCCCCACCATGATCTCGCTCATTCTCCGACTTGGATACTGAAAGTAAGTGTCTTCTCTGTTTGCCAGGAAATGATAAACCAGTGAATCGGAGGCGATTGTCCTTCAATTCCCCCTCTGGCATGGGATTCAAATGACTGGTGAAAATGAATATGCTTATCCACTGTATTTAATTAACAGCTATTAAAAGTACTCAGTGAAAATACAGCTGATAAAATTCACAAATAGTAAACACTTTGTCCTTGTACATATAGTACTAGTATATATGTTTATAGTACAGTACACCTTTATAATATAATATTGCCAAAAATACCAATTGGCCATTTATAGGCCAAGTGACCAATACCAAAAGCACAATAAAACACAATATATTACACCATTAAAATTTTACTATCGTAAATATATATCAAATATTTTATATTTACAGTGTGCTTGAAATTGTACAGTTACACTTGAGCACAATCTTTTTATATTAATAGACATTGTCAATTTTAATTTTAAATAAACAAGAAAATGTTAAAATGAAGAAAAGTTTTACAAAAAGCTTCATAGTTGACGTTTCTTCGATATTGTCGCTTACTTCTACATTATAATTGTCCATTTTGTTATTTTTTTCCTTCTGTTAGCAAACAACCATATGATCTCAATTAATCCATAGAAAACAAGCATTGTACGCTTGCTTTCTTCGTAGTTCGAACGCACATGCCTTGAAGGCAGCCATATTGTCGAATATAAACACCCACCTGATGAATGAACTTTTCACTCCATTTCCAACGACCAATCAAATCACTTCTGTCTCGGCTTGTCCCAGGGCTTATGGCAACGCAGACATAAGACTTTAATACTTACTTGGTCGACATTTTGGGCCGTCAATAGAATTAATTTTTGTGTTTTTTTTGTGAGAAGAGTGCGGAGCAAGGGGGAAGAAGACGTTGAAACTATTTATTTCCTATTTAACGCCCCTCTATGTACAGCTAATATCAAAGAAGCCATTAACTTCTAGTTGTTTTCTATCATTCATTTGTAAACTGTTCTATTTCATAGTGCTTGTCGATAAGTTTCTTAAGCTACCGTCCCAGTGGTACAATGAGCTTGGGTCCACAATGACTTTGACCAGTTTAGACCCATTCAAGGGAAACTTTGCGGGGAAATATAAATCTGCTGTTGGAAACGCTGGGCATGAATACGACCTTGTCGGCAAGTTCGACACTCATGGAGGTACATTAGGATGGATTGTATCTTACCAAAATAAGTATCTTAATGCACATTCAACCTGTACTTGGTCTGGTCACATTGAGCTGAGCCCTTGCAAAGATCAAAGACCTGTCATTCTCACCACGTGGCTGCTGACGTCACAAACGGGCAACAAAGATGATTGGCCATCAACCAACGTTGGCTTTGATACCTTTACTGAATATCCTCCAAGCCAAGAACAAATTGAGAAAGCTAAACTACGTCGACAGTTCAGCCATCCAAAGAGAGCATTCATGGAATAAAATACTTCGAAAACAATATTGTTTTTAATTTTTGAACGTAGAGTTTTCCTATAAAATTAATTGATGTGCTTAAATTAGACCAGATGCATTTTGTTTTTTATTTTGAATAAACTGCTGAGCTGTTTCAGTTTCTTTCATTATTATTTGCATTATTTTGGTCAGTGGAGCATGATCCCAATTTATGGGAAAGAGATGAGTTGTGGGATTATTTTGAGCAATTGAAATAAGTCACGTTTAATCATTTGGCAAAACTGGATTATTTTGCTAACCGTATAATTGAAAACGAAAGGTTTTTCAAGCTGCAATTGCAGTCTTCTTGATCTATGAAATTCTCTCGCCAACAATCCAGCTGCTTTAAACGGTGTGTGAACTTTCGTTTAGACCTAGTAACTTTCGACTTTCGGCATTCGATTTTCGGTTAATCACACTAGGATTTAAGCGTTTTCGATAAATCTAATTTTCATTGACAAAAACGTTAACCAGAAGTACATTAAAAATAACTCAAAGCCCCTGGCCCGAAGTTAGAAAGAAATAAAATAATCAGAAGGATATACGTCATGCAAGCTTGTCCTTAATCCATATCACCATACACAATATAGTAACAGGCAAGAAAAACACGTTTTCGTGTGAAGAAAACACATTTTCGAATTCCTAGTTACATGCTCTGATTTACCGGAGTGTCGGGCCATGATCTACATAAACCCATTAATGGTTGCTATAATACAGAACGAATTGGAGAGTCGCCAGAAATCTACCTCCCCCCCCCCCTATGCATCACAATACAGTACAGTACAGTACAGTACACTGTGCACCAATAAAACCCTAGGGCCAAAACGTATTGAGAAATGAGCAATTGTCCAACCCTTTGCTTACACTGAACCCACACATGCAAAAGACTTTCAGTCCTGTATAAGAGTTTGCATACGTTTCATTTACAGTAGGCAATCTCAACTGTTTCAGGGTAAAATGACCTTGGCGCAACCTCGTTCCCAGGGCTTTTCCCTTTTTGTTATTGGGAAGGCAGGAAAAGGCCCTGGCACCGGGCGGTCACATGACTTTCAACACCCAGATATAGTGGGTGTAATAAATTATAATGATAATGTTCAGAAAATCCAAGATGGCCGCCAACGTAAGAGTGTGCACAAAATTAAGTGCTTAGAGCGGCTTAAAAATGATTTTAGTCTTTGAAATTTTTCCTTCTTTTTGCAACCGACGTTCTCGAAATCAAATTCTTCAGCTTTTATTACATGGGGACTATGTAGTTGCTGTTCTTCCAACTGCGTTTGGTAATATCGTTCGCTAAACAAAAATAACAGCCAAAATATAGTATAACGACTTATGTCCTCCAGCTGGACAGGCTTGCCTAAGAAGACACGGAAAGTGTTTTGAACCGGGGATGTTAAACTTGGTTTTACCCTTCTCAAGACTCTGCAATGTGCGGCGATTGCAGCGAGTTTATGAGGAATATTTTATACAGTGATTCAAAGAAATGTTTTTGCACGTACTGTATATGTTATTGATCTATTGTTGAATGTCACTTATATTATAAAGTGCCAATGGTCGGAATATTTATTAATTGATATTTTAAATACAGATGAAGAGCTATGTGCTCTTTCCGTGTTTACGTTTTCCTTGCAGCCAAATGTTGTTGAAGCTGGCAAGCTGTAAAACTGACATATGAGTGATATGACCCAAACATTGGATATGCATCTTAGTTTGCTTCCAGTAAAATGTAAACAAGACCTTAAGAATTCTATATGAGATAAGAAATATTACGTTTAAAATCATGACTGGCAAATTAGCATGTGCGATTTGATGCTTCCTAATAATGTATATACTCCAGTAAAGCTTGCTTGCTTCAATTCTTGCTGTTACCATCTGCACATTATCAGGATGGAGAGTTGATTTGAATTTTTTGTCCCAGGGGATAAAGGTAGGGAATAGATTTTCCATCACAAAAGGGGCAAGGTGCCCAACCAGTTAGCACGATGGCATGTACTTTAAGTGACCATTCATTATACCCTAGGGTGGGGTGGGAGATTCTTATGTCAAAATGCTACAGGACCCCTTTTTTAATCTCTCAATTTAATAATGGAGACCCCTCCTAAATATTTAAGACTATATAACATGATGAAATTCTAGTCTTCATTCATGTGAAATCATTCATGTTTAGGGGCTTCAGTGGCCAAGTGGTTAGCGCACTTGCCTTTCACCTCTGAGGCTGCAGGTTCGAATCTCACTAAGTACCTTCTCAATGCGACTCGAACCCAGTCCTCATGTGAAAAGAGTAAAAGTCAACGCTCTGCCGAAAGCCGTGGGTTTTCCCCGGGTACTCCGGTTTCCTCCCACAGGGAAAGTTGACAGGGTGGGTTAGGTAAAAAGGGCCCACAGTAATTGGCATACGCTGTTGTGGTGACCCTGCCCTAGTTGGCAAAGCTAAATAAATAAATAAATAAATAAAAAGAATGCCTGACTATGAAGAAATACATTTTG